TTTCTTTTAAGTCCTCTCAAACAGTGGGCTGCTGTAAGAAGATAACCTCTCAGTGTCATTGCTGGTTTATAATACCAAACTGTTCTCCTCTCATGCCCTCTGGGTTGCTGGAATATCGGCTCAAATACTCAAGGAAATTTGAACCCCGATCACAAGACTAGATCACAGTGTTAATACAGGTTCAGATTTTCTTTCTGTTGTATTTACATTCTGTGTCATTAGTGAAATTTCTTTTGTTATGTTCGTTATAAATTCACTCTTCGTTTTCACGTCCTTGACCACTGGCTAACTGTCTGCCTTGCTGTCTGTGTTTTTGTCATCTTTGTGAGAAAATGACAAACTGAGATTGAACAAACTTTCATTGTTGCAGACTTTTCCTGTTTGTTGTCGTTTTGTTTTACTCTTTTTTCATCTTCTACTTTGTATTCAGGTTGTGTTTGAATGTTCTATATCTGTCAGTGTCAGCCAGTGATGAATATGTTTAGGTTGAACTTTGTGTGAGATATGCTACATGAAATCTTTGGGAAGTCCCAATTCTACATCTTGCTCAGTGTGGTTTAGCAATACGATTGATGGTGCTTCACAGTTTTCTGCATCCAAGGGGTTTCCAGTGTTTTTACAGCACTAGATCTATTTTTTTTTTCCTGTTGAATATGTCACCTAAATGTTGACTTTGGTTCATTATTTTGAATACTAAATGTTCTATTTCCAAATAACAGGTTTAACCATATTTTCCAGCAGTGGTGATCGCCATTGAAGGCTTTCCTCTGCACACAGTTTTCCTTTAAACCTGCCAAACATGCATATTTTATCTGTTCTATCATTTGTGTTTTTGCTGAGCCCCTAAACCTGTCATCCATTGCCACAGAGTTTATACTACTGCTAAAAGGTGAAAGGTGGAGAAATAGGTAGCTTTCTTTTAGCCTTGGCAAACAAAAATTGTCCTCCAGCAATTTTAAATGCAGTTTGTTGATTCTTCTTGTTTAGATGCAGTTGCCTTGGGAAATAAGAGGAAGTATACAGATGCTTCAGTCACTTTCTGATTTACTGGATTTTTTATTTTTTATTTTTTTACAACTTTAAAATGTGCGGTAAATTCCAGCACCATAGACAGCTCCTAGGAAGAGTGTTGCCCTACAGTATGTGCTGTATTACATTAAATATGACATTTCTGCTGCCAAATAAAAAATAAATGAAGACAGTCAAGATCCCAAAAGCTCTATTTAAAAATTGCTTGAACAGAAAGGTTAAAATGTCTGAAAATAAAATAAATTACTAGCTATAACTTGAGAGTAGCCACAGGGCGGTCTGAAATTCTGACAGTGTAAAGACAATAAGAAAAAAAAACACAACAGTTTGATCATTTTCCAGCATTAAAAATGTGACACCGTTTATGAAATGACATTACAGAGTTTTTGTAAAAGTACTATTTTTATTTAGTTGTTGAGATCATTGCAATACTGTCTCTAATCCAACTTAGTAGTCCTTCGGATGGCGCTATGATTCCATTACAACCTGGCTCCAAAAATAGCATTCAGTAGTTTTGGTCAGTCTTTTTGTGTGTTCCTTTTTTTTTTTTTTTTTTTTTTTTTGTCCTGAGATGATACTCAAGTCTGCAGAGTTTCAAATCTGAGCTAGGAAAGCACTTCTATTTTTCAACTTCCTTAGAAGTGAATGTGGTCATTCTGATTGTGTGGGTTTACGGTAAATAGGGTCTGTTTGGGTGTTTTATGACTCACTCAGATGATGAGAGGTGATTCCATGATCCAGGTTGAAATAAAGGTTTTCCTCTGATTTGTTGAAACGAATAAATTCCTTCAGAAAAAAAAAAACAAAACGCTGTTCTGTTCTCAGGGCTTTTCCTGTAGATATAAAACTGAGCAACAACAAAATCCATCCAACTCCTTGCTTTGAAGATTACATATAGTAGCAGCCAAAATAACACAGAACAAAAAAAAATAAAATAAAAAAATAAATACAATCCAACCGAAGGGATCTTGCCGAAAGAATCTATCTTCTTCTATGGAATTTTAATGTGTTTACAGGCTAAACATAGTCTCATTACTATTTAGATAATGAATGAATGCTGTTTTTAGATGGGGTATATCAACACCATGTTCTCAACTACAGCTTTATAAAACAAACAAACAAAAAAAGATCTCTCTACGTGTTATCCTATTTGCTGGTGTGTTCCATGCTCTTTGAGTTTTCTCTTTTCATCTTGTGTGTAACGTCATCGGTAATTGGATTTATGAATGCCCCGAAGAGCACTATAAATGTAAATTTTTTTGTGTGACAGAGATGTTATGTTTTGCTGGAATTCTCTCAGCTTCTAGACCAGGGGAGACCAGACATGCGTCATCTATAAACTTCATTCTCAGACAGATGGACGGAGCCACTTATATGAAAGTCACACACATAAAACTCATTAAGACACTGTCCATCACACACCGGTGCACACGTTCAAGAGTCATCTTCCTGTTTCCTTGTCTACGACACACCTACACACATCCATGCACTCGACTTGAGTCTTGTTTCATCATTTTGTTTGCCCTCTGTCGTTTTTCTTTTGCCATCTGCACTTTCAGAGTGAAGCTGTAAACTTACTGCTAGGATGCAGTTTCGCCCCTTCACTTGTTCCGTAAGTTTTAATATTCTTATTTAAAATTGGTTAACCCTAAAGCTGCTCTTTTGTTTTATCCTCAGAGGAAAAAAAAATATATATATATGAAAAAAAATACCTGAGTGAAGTGGGCCTTAACTGGAATAAAAGAGTGGTAAAATTTGACTAAAAATGTTAGAAAAACAATAACAATTGTATCAGCTCCCGGAGTTAAAAATAGAAGATACATAAAGGCCTTCTTTTGGATGCTTGAATGCACGTATGGTTCACAATCAACGTGCATGCAAAGACATGAACTAGCATGTCTTTGCAAATAGAGAGCTTATATTTTTAACACCAAATTATTTGCTGCTTTTGCAAGTTTTGTATTTGTGGTTGAATAAACATACAACCTTTGGTATTTTGCACATGGTTGAGTCTTGCTCAGCATAAGATGTTCTAGATTAAATTTAGCCGACAATTGAAAAAGCTTTTAAAACTTGCATCTAGATAGCTTGTAAATCTTTGAATATCATTTATTGTAAGACGTGTCTCTATGAATAGATAATGTATAACTCTTTCAGAACTCCAATTTGTCCACATTGAGCTTCTTAACTACTTTTTCCATTAAGCCTACCACTCAATCTTTCCAGTCCTTTCTTGTACTTCACAGTACAGGAGAACAAACTGAAGAATGTACATCTAGAAGAGACACATTGCTTATCGTGTTCTTTATGGATATAATGCAGTTAGGGCTGTTGTATGTCATACAGCCGAAAAAAAAGTTAGTAAATATACTTCACTTAAGCAAAGTAAGAAGGTCATAGAGTGTTCTTCAACATTTACTTTCACCATTTTGAACCCCAAAGAAAAATTCCTGGGCTGCAAGAGAAAGTCTGTTACACTTAGTGATCAATCTCTGTCAAACTTATTATAATTTGAGTCTGATTGTGTTAAAACACTGACATGGCAAATTTAATTGGAAAAAGCAACATGTTTTGTTTATTAGGTTGAAAACATAAAAAAAATACACATTAGGGTAAATCCTATTTCATAGGGTTAATCATATCCAATAGTATTAATTTAAGTGATTTCCTGAGAAACAGGACACTTTCAGTTTTATTTTTGACCACATGTGACAGATATTCAACTTCAGACATTTTTGGCCCCCCTTCCAAGAAAACCAGAATTTTGCCATGTCCATATGTTGTACTGAATCAGACACACATCTGATTGTTTTCACAGAATCTGCAGTCTGAGCAGCTATGTTAAATTTTATTTGACTTTTAGGTGATTGAGGTGAGATGTGCATCATAATTCTGCCCCAGAAGAAACCAGATGTGGCAAATCCAGACATGAACAATGGCTGTTTATGTTCAGATTTGGTGTGATCGGTGACATAGAAACATGATTAGTACAATATGATGGAAGCAGATGGATAGAGAAACATAACTTAAGATAAATATATAGTTGGACATAGCACTTAGATTTAAAAAAATGCCATCTTTCAAAATGGTGAAAAGAGGAAAAGAAAAACCAAACATAACTCAAAATGTATTTTTAATTGGAAATTACATTTAAAACATTGAAAAATAAAAAACAAAAATTATTTTCTTCTGGCATCTGATATCAATCACAATCATCCATAGCAGCTGCCCACTTCTCAAGCATGTGTGCATCAGCAAAGAAAATAGTGACAGCAGCCAAAACTGCTAAAACAGAAAAACCTGTCATGTGAGACTTGGGGAAATAGAACTGCACTGAGTTACTGCTCCCCTGGCCCCAAAACAAGTCAATAGAACAGAACAGATACAGTAGAGAGGAATGGTTTCCATTATTCTTATTTGCCCCAAACACTGACACAAGTATAGGAGCAATAACTTCACTATACATGTTCAAAAATGAAATAAAACGAAAGTGGGTGATGAGCACTGATTAAATATGAAAGATTTAATCAGTGCTTTCACAATGGAGCCCCAGTAATTTGGCCTATATATAACTGGAGGCCTACTTTAATTAAAAAATATGAGCTTTTTAACAGCGTTCTTTGCCCTGTTTCTAAAACGTGCTCTTATCAGATAAATCCATTCTCCACATGAGCACCAGTACAAAGCACAGCTCTTAGTTTGTTTCATGTGCGTTATGGCATGAAACTTAGTACAGCAGGCGCGCGTAACTAAACCGGAGTTGGTGTTTGCACACGCAGAACAGTGCCTTGACATGACTCCAAAATTCAACCTTCGCTTTGGTGTGAGCGTAAAAAAAGATCCCCCGGCGGAAAATCAATGACACGGTGAGGGCTGAGGAGAGAGAGAGAGAGACAGAGAGAGAGAGAGAGAGAGAGAGAGAGAGAGAAAAGGGGGCGGTGTCTGATGACCGAGGAGGAGGAGGAGAAAGCTCCCGGTCCCCACAGTTGTCCTCCGTGCTTCGCTCTTCTTTTTTTTTTCTAGCTCAGTCAGTCCCACCAGCAGCCGGGTGCTACAGGAGGAGTTCCCGTTGCCGTCTTGGACTTATTTTCATTCCAGATCGGACACCGAATAACTATCTCGGGTAGGCAAAGAATTTGCTGTTGGAACCTGATAGAATTGATTAAAAAAAAAAAAAAAACGTGAAATGAAATGTAACAGTTTGTGATTAATGGAGAAAGCAGAAAAAAAAAAGACAGGACAAAGCTGCGAGGCGGTGGTAATTGTGTTAACGCCGTTAATTGCTTAATAAGGAAAGGGGTGGTGGACGCTGGGAAGGAGGGGGCGGGAGGGGTAATTGTTTGCCCCATCTGTCGCGGTGACAACTCTGTGTTTATAATCCGATTAGACAAAGGATACGCAGTTTGAGCAATTATGACACTACTCCCAAATATAAACAGTGGTTGTTATTTTTTTTTCCTGCTAAGTTTTTTTTTTTTTTTAATTATTGCATGTATAATTGTTCACGAGGCTCCCGGTAACATTTCTTTATCTTCTAAAGTGCTTTATCAGACTTTTCTCTATAGCCTACTCTTTTCAGCCACCTCCGCATGAGCTTTTCCCTCTGTCAGCCTCCTTTCTCTCTCTCTCTCTGCTTTACAGAAGATGCTCTTCTTTCTGCTACCTGCCTTGGCTCTCTTGCTGAGCACCGAAACGGCGGTCTACGCTATCAGTCACGAGAAATGGCCGGGCACCGTGGCTCAGTACAACAAGGATCGATCCTGGAACAGATTCAGAGATGTGAGTTGCGCTGCAAAAAAAAAAAAAAAAAAAAAAAAAAAAAAAAAAACAAAAACAACAACAACAAAACGAACTTGCCCCTCCAAAATGAACATATAGTTAGATCCTTTGTGCGTAAATGTGCGCGTGTGGGTTTATCTTTAATGCGTAGATCTGTGTGTGCGTGTGCGTGCACACGTCGCCCTTGATACACCCAGTGAGTACTTGAGCTCTTGCCAGCAGGCGTAATCCACCTTGTAGAAACTCAGCAGGTTGGAACCCTGCTTGAAAAAGCCAGTCAGACTTTTGGACAAACGGCATTACTCGGCTGCACATGGCGGAATGATTATCTTCCGCTCTGAATGACTGAGTTGTTTCCCCGCTGCCTGATTTTCATCATCAGTGTTGGCATTCTGACACGTTATCCGTTTATTCTTTCTTTGGCTCATACAAAACATTAACTTACAAACACTGAAGGTTTTTACAATAAGTAGAAAACCCACCTGCAGTGCCTTTCAAACGTATTGATCCCCTTTTAAATGTTTCTTCCCCCCCACCTCCCTTAAAACATATATTGTGGTTAAAGACACAAACTTTTGTGTTTTGTTCTGGGGTTTTAGGCCATTAAAAAGTTGTGGATACTTTAAAACTCTAGTAGATTTGCTCTTTCAGAAAACTACATTTTTGGTTATTCTTTGCAGTACAACTCAACCTCTGTCATATGGGATGGAGAGCACCTGTGCAGACGAATTTTCTTGCCAGAAACACAATAAATTAATGTCTAGACTTTGACTGTTCCATCTGAACACATGGCTATATTTTAATATAAACCAAATGCAGCTCTAGGTTGTATGTTTAATGTCATGGCTCAGCTTTTAGAGCAATTTTTCTCTTACTCTATAAGGCTTTTGTCCATAATTGCCCAATATTTAGCCCCATCCTGATGCTGCCAACTTTGTGTCACCATGGAGATGGTGTGCTTAGTGTGATGAGCAGTTTTTTTTTTTTTTTCTCTACACATATTTTGCATGTGTGCCAAAAAGTTTGTATGGTCTCATTTGAGCAGAGCACCGTTTTGAACATGGTTGTTCCCATATGGTCTGAAAAACTGCCATGGTGTTCAGTCAGTAATGAGTTTCTGCCAGGCAAGATTAAGAGTCAGTAATTAATAGTTGTCCTGTCAAACATGGGATATGTTTATCACTCCAGTGCAACACATTCTAGAACTGTTAAGTCAAGTTTGTGTTTTTAGTGATAAAAGGTAAACTTGGGGTGATTTTACTTTTTTAAACATTCAACAAAGTAGAAGTTGAATTTAAAAAGCTATATTCTTTTTCAGGAAACACAAGAACAAATTGGAATCGGCACATATTTCCGCTTTAAAAAAAAAAAAGGCAAAATGTTGTCTTGTTTGAGAGAGCTCTGATCAATAGATGTATTTTCCTTCTTGCAATCGTTTGTTTAGTCTACTTGAATTAATAGTGCAGCATGTGGTTTTTCTAGCTGGTTATACGATGTTGCATCATTGGATTTGTGTGCTGTATAAGCACAGACGCACTGCACAGATCAGATTTCTATCAGATGAAGTGCTTTAAATGATGTAGAAATAGTCTTTTTCTCAGTGGTAACAAATGATCTGAATCCTGTAAATGTGCAAATTAAGCATAACCCAACCAGCTCAGACCGTCCCAGACGCTGTTAAAACATAAGTTTTATTCCACTATCACCACATGTTCATTCAGGAAGAAGGACTGCTGCAATCCATTGGGTTTCCTTAGAAAACATTTTATAAACAGAAGCCAGACTTTGCTACCATGTTTTTGAAGTAGGATTGGATTTGAGGTATTCCAAGGAATATTGTTTCTGTTAAATTAAATTGATGTGACACTGTTTTTCCCTGGCTAGTGCATGATCTCCAACTCAGCCAAATCCTTGAGGACCACCGTGTCTTGGGTTCCTTTTAGACTGCATTAAATATTTTATTAACGGAGAACAAATCCTAGCACTCAGAGCTTTTATTTGTGTCTTGGTGTCTTTTGAAGAATTGGGACAAGATTCTCCTCTGACTAGCCGGAGTAAGAAAAATTTACCTCCAAATCTCTTCTGAACCTTTTTCAGAGAGTATCCTCAGTGCTAAACCTGCCCAGTCTCAAGTTATTTCACTGCTGACAGCTACAGAAGTGATTCCACGCTCTCAACTCTATGATGTCCTTGTCTCCCTGCAAACATGTTCCCCAGACATTTCGGCAGACTGAGGGGTAACTTTGGCCTTATTAGAGGTGGCCATCTTGGTCCAGCACAGGACCTGTGATGTGAAAGATGTTCATGACAGCCTGCTCTCAGCCAGGGCTTGACTACCTGGTGTGTGTGCTTCTCCACTGCTCTCTCTTAATGCTGCTCTCTGGTCTCCTGTGCAAATGAAACTTGTTAATGGCAAACTGTCAGTGGGGGATGGGAGACGGTGGAGGGGAGTCGGCAGGAATAGGAGGGGAAAGGAATGGCAATAGATACGGGTGACATTTATGTTGAATATTTCAAGCTCTGCTGCCGTACAGATGCAGGAGCTGCTGCGGTGATTACGTGTGTTTGTGTCCGAGTGTGTGTTGTCTGACCTATCGCACGAAGGAACCTGCTGTTTGCAATTTGTCTCCTGCAACAGTGGCTGTGGCTCGCTCTGCTGTGTCTCCTTTCTACCTCCATACTTAGCTGCTCATTTCTCTCTTCTTTGTCACCCAAATTAAATTTGCACGAATATGCCTCAAAGTACAACAGCATTAAACCGTGGCTCTGTTTAGAAATCGGTTATGCGGTGAGGGATTGCTGTAAATTTAAGTGTCGGTAACAAACAAACTAAATACGTCTACATGCATCTCTACAAGTTAGTCGAAGCTCTGCAAGATGAAACTGAACTGTTAGATTTAATGGAATAAACTCTACATAAATATACCCTGGTTCAGATTTTCAAGATGTTTTTTTTTTTTTTATGTCTGTTTCACCCTGTAGCTGATGATGTAGTTAAAACAATTTGAAGTAGGCCTTCTTTATTTTCACATAATTTCTGTGCAATGTGCCACCACCTCTGGCAGTAAAACCCCACATGATGATGATACTGCCGCCACCAAATTAACATAGATTTTTTAATTATTCGAAAGTGCATCCATGTTGTGTCTATACCTGCTTGTCCATGCAGGGTCACGAGGGAACTAGTGCCTATCTCCAGAGTCCACATGTGCGAAGGAGGACACACTCTAGACAGGTTGGCAACATATCTCAGGGCAACACAGAGACTTACAAGACAAACAACAGTACTTGCACATAAGGGTAATTTAGAAAATCCAATTAACCTAACAGTCATATTTTTGGATTATGGGAGTACCTGCAAAGAAGCCATGCATGCATGGGCACATGCACAGTGCTACCACTTGCACCACTGTGCATCCCAGTATGAAATCCTTTTTAATATAAAACACCTGGGACTTGGATTCCTTTTTGCCATTTTGTTCTTCCTGAAAGGATTGGCATGACATTTGGGTCTGAAGTCACCCCGCTGCTGTTCTGCCTCTCAACTGCCAAGAGAGGTAGTCGCAGTGTTGTCCTGACTGAATCAAGTCAGGGTTTGCTGGCATCGTGGCTGAAGGATGTGGACGGTCTGTGTGACCAGCTGGTTGGACGATTTAATGCCAAAACCCAGTGGAACTGGTGCTGATTAACAGTGGACAGGGTTTGCTAAAGTGCACAGAGACAGAACAGTTTGCTTAACTTCAACCAAGATTGGTTCCTTCAGTAGCAGTGATGCTTGAAACCAAAACTAATAAGAAGCAAACGGTCACTGTATTGTTTTTTCCGTTCCCTCTGTGGTACATCCTTTATATGAACCCTGTGAGTTCCAGCCCAGACTAGTGTCACTTTTGAAAACGTCCAAGCGAGAAGGATATTATAGACCTCATTAGAGGTTTATGAACGTGTATTCACAGTGTAAGTAGAGTGCCATATCTGAGTGATTTTATTGCAAAACCATTTGTTGAACATGAAAGCTAAAGAAGCCTTACCGTGATGCCTCCAAACACAGTTCTTCATAAATGTGACCAAATAGCTCAGCGTTTGTTTTATCTGACTGTAAAACATTTATCCAGGCACTTCTCCCCTTGGTCAACATCCTTTTAGTTTAGTGACTCAAAATATCTTTTACTGTAAACTTAAACCCTTGTAATCCAGCAATGCCCAGTTCATCTCTATAACTTGTAATTTTTGTTCTGATATTTTAAAAATGATCAAAATTGTATTTATATAATTTTTGAGGGAAAACAGCTGGTCAAAACAGGCACTGAAATATAATTCAGTTGATTCATGCCCATGATGAATGTATGAACATGTGTGCATATGAAACCCATTCAGCTTTACACAAAGGTAGGATGTAATCATAATGTCTTCTGCAAAGATTAAGTAGTTTTGATCTACTCATCCACTCTCCCAACATATACTGAATTATAGATGGGAATTAGGGAATAAGGAAATACCAATCAGAGTTGACCTCAGCTTGCCAGCTGGAAAATTTAACCAAGTAACAAACAAATGCTGAAGAAGAGTGATTCTGACATGACGTACTCAGAAGCTCACTTTGTATTCCCATATGCCCCAAATGAAAATTAGCACTCATGAGAAATTTGTGATTTTGTTCTTCATCAATCACAACTGATAATCTTCCATTACACTCTGTGACAGGTGTGTGATGAAATCTGTCATGATTGTGTAGCTTTAGCTGACAACTGCAATATAAATGATCACTACTGATAATTTGGCTTTCTTTTCTTATTTTATATAGTTCCTACAGAGCATTGTCGAAGGGATTGCACACACATCTTGAGAAGATGTGTACATTTTAAGTAAAAATTTTATTTTGGCTTCTTTGGGCATTTATAAAAAGAATATGACTAGGAAGGGAAGACATAAATAATAATTTGGTGCTCTCACAGACTTTCCAACGTCAACAAAACAGATTTCTGTGGTGCGGCTTTAAGGTGTTTTACTTTTTTGTGTTGTCCTCTCGGTATTAAAAAGAGGATTGCGCTCTGCTGAATAAGAGTTGGAAAAACTTGTACATTACAGTAAGTTTCTGGCTTGGTTGGTGCACTAGGGATAATTACTTTGCTATGCGGGATACAAGCTTCACAGAATAGTTCACCACTATTTTTATCTTTTATTATCTCTAACATGTAAATCACAGCTCTTATTTCGATTTCATTTTTCCTGTAAGCCATTTCCTTCATTACACTTCTTATTTATTTATTTATTTTTCTTTGAGTCATAAACTCAGTATTTTTGTACGTATTCTACTATTATGCTCCTGGTCTTTTTCTTGCTGTGACCCTGTGCTCCCTCAGCCATGCCCTCTTTGTCTCTCTCCCTTTTTTTCCCCAGCACCTCCCTCTGTGACTCCTCCTCTTTGCTGCTCTCCCCTGCCTGCCATGTTTCACTCGGCATCCCCACTGATGAGCCATTTGCTACTTCTTGCATTATGCATGAGTGTCCATGCTCAGGCAGAGGAGCCTGTCCAAGACTTGGAGTCAAAGTTCAGTTAAGAAAAGTAGGGTTTGATTAATCCTTTTGTCGAGTACTAATCACTGGACTATGAAGTGCAGGAGGAGGGATGGGATGCACTCTGAATAAACTATTTTTATCTTGTCTAATTTTAGTCCAGGAAAGCTTTTTAGTAGATGTTTTTAAATTGTCTTATCAGCACACCGGTTTTTCTATTTCTTTTTTGTTTGTTTGTTTTTCAGAAATATGTCTGAGTTTTTCATAAATGGGGAAGAAGAAAAGAACATAAGAACAAAAATAGTCCAAATGTGCAGGTACCTATAATTATTGGAACAGGAGTCATGCAATACACATTTGGTTAACATAGAAAAACAAAGATAAAGGCGTACAACTAATCAGGTCACAAAGTCAGTGAGAAAAGAAAAAAGCTGGATGCACCAACAACTCTTCAGTCACATCACTCACTGAATAATCGTTGTCCTTCATGTAGATAATGAAACAACCCCATACTTAATGGAAAAGATCATGTCTGATTTTGAGAATAGCAGAGGTTTTTTTTTCAGGGTTAAGCAAGAAGTTAGTTCCTCAAACCCTTCTGTGATACAGGGTTTATCCATAAATTCCCAGGTAAGTGCAATTATCCTATTTACTCTTTTAATTTGGTTTCACTTTGAGTAAAATCCTAGAAAGAAGACCCTGCGATCAAGTTCCAGTCTAATTAGAAGAACCTTGTGTATGGATATTCTGTATTACCAAAAATAATGAAACGAAGTGGCCTAATAAACCCCTCCACATCTGTTGCAGGTTTCTTGAATGTCTTGATTGAATTTGCTTCACTTTTCTGAGGTAATGTCTACTCTCATCTACCGTTGTAATAGCTTAGGGCTTGTATTACCTGTTTTTGACTAATCTGGTTTATATGCTGTTCTCCAGGGACAAATTTTCCTAAAGGTCTGCTTTCCGTGCATTTTGTTCAGAAATAGAAGAATCAGAAGAGTTGTCTCATCAAATTGTAACATTCTGAAATGCCTTTTCTAAAAGGATTTTTTTGTAAGGATTAATAACTTGTTTTATTATTATTATTATTGGCAACTTTATATTTAATCTATATCTTTTAAAGCAGCATATTTCTGATTCATAGACTTGCTACAGATTTTTTTATTAGCTTTTGCTGAGCTAGCAAAAAATATAACCGTTGTTTAGCCGTAAGTTAAAGCTAAAACAACTGTGTGTTTCAGTAAACTACAAACACCCCTAATCTTTTCTTCTATTTATACCTTTGTCCCACATTTGCCTAATCTCCCGTCCTTGTTTATGAAAACAATATGTCATTTTGCTCGTTCTACAGTTCCAATTTTAATTTTCCAGGCGCTTTTATGTTAATACAGAATAGCTGCGGAAAATCCAGTCACATTTGTATGCGGCGCCGACTTCATCTTCGCTTCTGTTTCAGACAGGGTCAACTTTGTTGTGAGCCTGCAGCTTCTCTGTGCTGTTTGGCTGCATCAAAGTGTTCTGGTCAGGAGAGAAAATATCTGAATATGCACAGTACAGCTGGAGCAGCAGGGAAGAAATGGCAAAAATAAACAAAAGAAAACTCAAGCAGCCAATCAAAATTTAGTGACAGAGTTCAGGCCACAGAGAATAAGAATAACCGGGCTGATTTACATAAAGTAGAGGCAGTAACATACACAGTACCGGCACACTGTACACAGACATGCTGCTGTTCTCTGTCACAAATATCATTTCTGTAGCTTTGTGAAACAAACAGTATTTGTCAGTAGTGTACCAGAATAAACACCTTCCTGATTAGAGTTTAGATTAGACACTTTAGCTGCCTTCTACACTGATTTATCTATTTTATTTTTTTTTAAGAGGCAAGTTAAGACAATGAAGGATTCGTGGTTAAAGCTCATTAAATGACAAATGTTTTGAAGTACCCCCATTAAAATAATTTCCCTCCATTGTTTATCTTTGTAATCTGAAAAAAAAATGGGTTAAGAGTTGGACATTTTGCCTGGAAGGGCTCTCCACACACTTTACATCCATGAACAACTATTTATGACTATTTTATGTCCACCAGTTTTTGTCTTTTAGTTCAAAAATAATAGTGGAGAATAATACACAACATTTAACCAGTATTGCATGCTCTACATTAGTTTAGGCCTATTTGTGATTGTACCGCACTCAAGTCATATTTCAGTGTACATATGAATGCGACTGTCTCTGCATTTCTCTATAAAAGAGATATTGTCCAAATTTAGCCTCGAAATGCTGCTCGTACACAAGTTCACTAGGTCAAGAAAGCTACTATTACATTTTGACAATGCATCACCTGAGACATGCACAGCTTTCTGTTGTTTAGCCATTTACTTTTTGCTTTGACATTGGTTGATAATTTGACTTGTAAAATAATGTATCATCTTCAAAATTAACTGTCTGCAGACAAAGCTCACAGAAAACATTGTGCTGCTTCATGAACTTACTGTTTCTGTTTTAAACATTGTAACACATTGATAAATAACGTTACAGAAACTCTCTATATAGCTCTGTCTCCTGTCTGTGGATATGCTGGCACAGCCAGCACAGATACATGGGGGGGCTGCAGCAACTAGCACAGTTTCACTGTGAAAATTGTTGTATGCAGCAAACACTGAGGGGAAAGCACAAAAGACAGATAAAAAAAATGATAGCAGAAGTTGCAGCCATATAGCTCATTCAAAGACAGTAATCCACCAGCAACAGTTCACTTTAGTCAGTAACTTTGACACCAATCATTTAAAAAGAAATTTTGATTGGTGTGGGAATGTAATACTTGTACCTGGACAGAGAAATCCCTGCTTGCACCTTTTAAACCACATTTAGGCCCCTGTATGCATCGTATGTGGATATTTTAACAGCATTTTTATGCTGTTTGCCATGGGACGCAGTGTAGTCTTTCCAACAAAAATATTGCTCAGTGGTTGGACACAGCACTATTATTTGATTTATATTTAACAGAAGTAACAAAGAATGTTAATGTTTCTTGTAAGATTTGTCCAAACACTGATCTCCTTTTACCAAAACAAACTGCCGTCGTCACCGTTTTGGCAGCTTCGCTGTTTTTGTCATGATGCAGAAAATTAGTTTTAACACTTCTAAATCCACTGTTTGTTTTTGTCTTCAAAGGATTTGCCTGTCCTTTCCCTCCCTCTCTTACTTTCGCTGTTTTCAGACTGAAATCCCGTTTGCCCCGCTGCGTGCCTCCGAGGCTGCAGAAAGGCACTAAATCATACTTGCGCAGGACACGGGATGCCTGCAAAGCACCAGATTGTCAATTCATTAGTTGATGAACCTGGTGACGTGTAGAAAAAAATTGCTCAAATAATAGCGCGGGTGTTGAGTATTAGAGCGGCCTGTCTCGACTCACTCTCACAGTGGGAATTAAATGTTGTCATCGTTTATCAGCAGCACTTTGAGATGACAGCCTCTTCAGAGCTGCCAGTCAAAACACCAGCATCGGCTCACTGATCACTTAGGAGGATTCGTGTTAGCAGGTGTTGTTCTGCGGTGGAAGCACCTGACATTTTATTTTTACTTCCAACTTGCTCCGGTTGCTTAATATGTGCATTCGTGCCCCCACCTTTTCATTTCATTCATGGAGGAAAAAGGTTTTGCTGAGCATGCATGTTCTCTTTTAGCGCTCTTCGGCCTCGCTGTGCACACATTCACACCTGGAAGCGCGCCTCCCCTCTCCCCCTGTGCATCCAAAATAAATTGCTGTCCTCAGTGTGTCTTTGTCTTTGCCCTGGTGTGCTACGTGCAGAGATTGGCTTTGTTGTTCAGTCATTGTTATTCAGTAGGGATGGGGGAAGGGCAGGGTGTGGCTCAGCCTCCCCATCTGGATCCACCCCCTCCCACAACTTTTAGACGCCCGTGTAAAGCCTCCTTTCAGCGAATCTCCGCACCAAACATGCATCATTTATGCCTGTTTGGCTCGCCACTCTTTTTAAAACATTGTGCCATCTCCCCTTTTTCTCCTGTCACTGTTCTAATTCGAGATGAAATATTTTGCTCCAAGAGCTAATTTTATTTTATTTTTTTCAAAAAATCCTGCTGAAAAAAAAAAATCCATCATTACAGCGGTGATTGCATTTTAAAGTGTGTAGAAACATCCACATCTTCACTTGCTGACTTGTTTCTTTGCATATTGATGCATAAGCACAACCAGGCTTTCATTTACTCCCAACGTCTTGGAGAGATTGATCACTGAATGCACAGGGAGAGGTAACCCAGACTGGAGTTTCAATATAATTTGTTAGTATTTGAGAAACCAGTTACAAAAAGGTAGCAGAGGACAATTTGGACACGGGGAAGATAAAGGTCGCTGCCCCTTTATAACTGAGACAAATAGGTTGTCTGGTAGAGTATTTGTGAGTGTGTGTGCATGTGAGTTGGGAGTTTACAACAGAGAGGAAGGGAAAAAGCAGGATCACTGCTGGCAAAACAGGAACTGTGCAAGAGGAAGATGAAGACGAACTTTAACATGAAGCCCATCAGCGCTATGAGCAGAGCAGATGTACAGTCACAAGGCCGAAGAGATGCGAGAATTGCGTCATCAGTACAACACGTCGACGTGTGTTTTCTCTCTTGACTTTGTCATGACAGCTTCTCCAAGTTTTATTCTTGCTCTGTAGGAATCGCCTTTCTGTCAGCCCTCTGGATTGCTGATATGAAGCTCTCCTGCGAAGCTGCAAAGTCTTTTGAAGAGATGCTGTCGGATATGTTGCTTAGCAAGACAGTGAAGCCACCGTGGGTTCCGTGTTTTGAGATCTCGCTCCAAGTGATAAAGAGGGAGACAAATAAAAACACATTGCTGTTGTTTTTGCGCTGCACAAGCAGAGCTAATGTTCATAATGAATCAGGGTTCATTTTACACCCTTCATCCTCCGTGTACTCACTTCTTTAAGCTGTTTGAGTTTGCCAGATGAAAATGATCAACACTGATAATTAAAATGACCCTTTTTTCATTGTTATTGTTTAAACCAGGATCTGTCTTTGCTGATTTCTGTGTTTGTTGAATGTAACTTTTAGATAAAGCTTCAAAAGATTTTGTAATCCAGAAGAATGAACCCTGATATACACTGATGCTTAGTTTGCTTACACCAATGTATGTCAAAACTTGCATTATTATAAGGTGATGGGCATGAGCAATGTTATTTATATTGAAGTGGGAATTAAAAAAATAAAAAATAGGCAAAGAAATGTACATGATCGTACCGCAGTGAAAAAAAAAAAATACTTGTACAGCATTTTTAGACACCTGATTGACTCAAATAATTTTAGTAATAAAGGATCTTTCACAGGCTACAATGATGACTAGATATAAAGTATCAGTAAAGAAGCATTAAAGAATAATACAGTCTCTGCAGGCCAATTATGCAGTAGACTGGGCATTTAAGAGCAGCTTAGGTATGATAATTAAAGAGGGAAGTAAAATAAAATAAATCGAAGGCGTGAAAATCATATTTGTTAATATTTGTTCAACCTATTTGTTATTCAGTCTGCATTTTCAGCTCTGACGAGTGATTTATTTCAAAATCGTATTTTTCTTTTTCTTTGCACCCTGCTTCATATTTTTGACTGCATGTCATTTCTGGTTAAAATCTATAGCATAGTAATGACAGGGAGACGTCTCCTTGTTACTGCAGTGGGACTATAAAACTGCTGTATTTTCATTCTTCACACTTCAGCGGCATGCTGGTTTTTATGGGGGAGGGTGTGTGTGTGTGTGTGTTCATGAATCAAAGTAATGAGCTGATTTACACCTCTTTGTAATCTCCAAATGAAGAAAATTATACATAATTCC